ATCTGAAAATTAAATACAACACAAAGAATCAATTCTTTTATAATTATAAAGAATAGAGAGAGGGCAAACTAAAATAGAGATTATAAAACTTATCTGATGAAGAGAAATTTAATGCACGCACGCACGCACGCACGCACGCACGCACTCACGCGCACGCGCACGCGCACGCGCACACGCACGCACACACACACACACACACACACACACACACACACACACACACACACTCACACACACACAGGTCTGTGTTACAATTCAGTATTATCCTATGAAATAATTTATTATTTATCAGCTCTCTATTACATTTGTTCTATTTTTTACAATATCTTTACATGTATATCCTGATAATAAATAAAAATATTGTTTTATAGAATAATTTTGAGATAACTACCTGACAAATAATAAATAATAATGCAATACTTCATAGAATAATTTTGAGATAACTACCAGACAAATAAATAATAATATAGTAAAACGCAACTCACAAAATAAACACAGTGATGAGAAAATCAAGATTACGCCAATAAAGAATTATTTGTTTTTTTTTAGTACACATTGCCTTTTAAGGACATTGACAAATAATTTTCTGGATATTTTAGTAAAAGGTATATACAGACAGATTGGTTCAGGCCTTTCCTTTCAATAAATCTGAAATTATAATTCAGTATAAAGAATCTGTTCTTTTATAATTATGTAAAAAATAGAGAGAATAAATTAATAGAGATTCTATCTAATACAATATTGATTCCAATCGTATCAGATATGTTTAGAATGTCTATATTAATTTGTTTTCTCTATCTTTTACATAATTATAAAAGAACAGATTCTTTATACTGAATTATAATTTCAGATTTATTGAAAGGAAAGGCCTGAACCAATCTGTCAGTATATACCATTTACTAACATCCTTAAGAGGCAATACCAAATTATTGTATATTTGGCGTAGTCTTGAGATTTCCTCATCACTGTGTTTAGTTTGTGAGTTGCCTTTTACTTTAATAATTTAATATTATTTATTTGTCTGGTAGTTATCTCAAAATATT